GAATTCCCCAGCCAGCATGGCTGGCTGGGGAATTCTGGGAGTCGAAGTCCACCCATCTTAAAGTTGCTGAGGTTGAGAAACACTGCTATAAACTGATCAAGACTGAGCTTGAGGAGCAACTCGGACGAAAGGAGTAATTGCAACTCCAACCCTCAGCAGGACCTTCTGAAGTGGGCGAGAACGTCAACGTCCAAAGGCAAGTCTGAAGAAACTTAAGCCCTGCGTGAAGGGAGGAGCGTTCCCCGTCCCTAAGAACTGAGCAAGACTGTCCTAATGGCTGAGAACGATGGGCAGTTAGGGAGACAGGGCAGAGGGGAAATGTGTCGCCTTGTCGAGCCTTGCAAATGATCTGTTTGTCAGTTAAAGATCAAATACTAAGCACAGAGAGGGAGATAGTATGCTGAACATCCTGGTTGAGTGTAATAAACCTACGTCTTGCCATTGCAAAGGGAGAAGGATCAGTTTGTGTCCTTTTTTTTTTTAATGCTGCAGATAAGTAATATTTCTTTGGTTTTTCTAACCCACAGCAAGGAACTGACGGGCCACGTCCCCTATGAAGTAAGAAGGGCCCAAGAAATAAACAGCTTGTTTGGCCCCAAAGGCCAGCCTGAGGCTTACGACCTTATTTTGGACCTCCACAACACCACCGCTAACATGGGTGGTACCCTTATCCTCGAAACCTCCAGGGACTGCTTTACCCTTCAGATGTGCCATTATATACAGGTAAAAATAGCTGAAAACCTTATTTGGTGTGGCGCCAAAGAGGGGTTTTATAAAATCAACGGTGTATTCCTGGGGTTGGCAAAAATTAATGTTCTCCCATGAGCCAAATGCGGTCCTGTTTCCATCCCCTGAACCAAAGCAATCATGACCGTTGTTTGGTCACAGCAGTTCCATGGTGGAGGGTCAAAAAAGTCAAGATGGCAGCCTCGACCGTGTGATCCAAGCCCCGCCCCCTTTTTAAGGTGGTGGTGCGGGTGATGCCCATAAAAAGGGGGCGGGGCTTTGATTGCACGGTTTAAGGGCACGAAAGTGCATTTTTGAAACACGAAAGCAAAGACACGAATAAATGTTAGAAGCAACATGCAGCTCGTATTAAAGTAATCAGATTACTAAAAATCAAAACAAGTGGCTAAGTATTAAAAGCCAGGCTGGAAAAAAAAGCCTCTTTGAGGTTCTCTTTAAGGCATCTGAAGAGGAGTTGGGAAGCATGCAAGTTTAATAAATCATCATCATCATCATCTCCAAATCTGGAGCAAAATCTGAAGCAAAAAATCAAGATGTCAGCCACAACCCTTGTGTTTACATGTGTTTTATATATATATGGTGACCATATTTTCTTGAAAAGTAAAGGACCAGCCTGAAAAAGGGGCAAATCTGAAAGAGGTTCATAAAGATTAAAAAAAATTAATTCTTTATGTTTGCAACTTTGGTTTAGAAAGGAAAATTCAAGAGCAAAACCAAGAAAAACCTTACAAAAATGCATATCCTAATAAAAAGATCTAAAATCAAATGGTATATGTTGATTTCTTTTAAAAAGACCATTCAATTTCCGTATTTTCCACCTGAATGTGAAAGATGGTGTACGAAGCAGTACAGTAAAAGTACATTTGTTCAGTAAAAGTCAAATGACCAAATTAAAGGAGAAAAGTGAGTTTTTGAAAAATAAATAAATCTAAAGGACAACTTTCTGAAATAAAGGATGGTCCTTTATAATAAAGGGTGTATGGTCACCGTAATTTACAATCAAAATGAAGTTTTAAAAACTCTCCCCTCGCCCCCCAACACTCCCACTTGGCACGTCAGTATTTTTTAGCCCTCTTGCATGGTTCCTCTTTAATATTCAAGATAATTCTCTTAATCTGATACTATTTGGCATTATATGTTCCATCTCCAAAAGCAATGTTTCTCAAACTTGGCAATTTTAGGATGGGTGGACTTGGTGGCTGGGGGATTCTGGGAGTCGAGGTCCACCCATCTTAAAGTTACCAAGTTTGAGAAACACTGTCCTAAAACTTTCATGATGCACTTTACCATCTCGGGCTATGACTGGGCCACTGGCTTACGTGGCGAAACGCAGGATAGCCATCAGAGCAGAAAAGCACATTAAGCCTTGCTATTGTTTTGAACAAACAATTGTTTTAATGTTTGGTTGCAAGCTCGCTAGTTGAACAGGCAGGATTTACAGGCTAGGAATAATGCCTTTTAAAACCGGCCAATGCATTTTAATATTGTTGGCTTGGCTTCCTTTGGGAATCTTCACGGCGAATTACCAAAAATGTAAATCTCTGTGTGCACAAAAGCCAGCATTTTAAATTGGCTGCCAAAGGTTCCCCCTCAAAATCAATCTTGATGTGCCTGCTTGAATTTTATTGCTGCTACCTGTAGCGGAAGACCCACTTCAGCTCAGTGCCATCATGCGGGTCTAGGGAAGTCTGCGGGTGTGGGCGTGTGTAAAGGAGGTTGAGATGGCAGGGCAACCTTGCAATCCAAGCTTTGCCCACTTTATGGGCATCACAACCCCCCACCTTGCAGACACCCGGAATCAGCCATGGTTTCTGCTCCAACTAATCCTGGGACTGCTCCATCGGATTACCCAGGAGACTCATCTTGTTAAGTGCAAGTGCAATGAGGAAGTTTTATTCCTGTCTCTTGACTTGCCTCAGGTATCTTAACCTGCACATTTTGCCCAGGTAGAAAAAGTCTTGGATCCAGCTATTGTGAACCTTAAACCAAGAGCCTCTGTTCACGCAATATCCGGCATCAGGTCCGTGAACGATCCGGGGTCTCAATCCTCACATCATGCTAACCTTGATTTGTTCATCTCTTGCAGGAACTCAGCCAGTTTGATTAGCTTGTGGTTCAGTGTATTGTGCAAAGCCAGAAAATCAGTTGGTTCACTATCTAGGTGGAGGGCGTTGTATAAACGCGGCTGGGAAAAGATTCTGCCTGTTCAGTGTGTGTATTTTGTTAGGGCGTTTGCTCATCGGGATGGCACAGCGGGTAGCTTAGGATCAGAGAAGATTCTCCAAAGTGGGTTCAGCCTCTGAAGGAGGACCGTGCAGCCTTTTGTAGCGAGCCGATCTAATCTATAAGAGCATTAATTAGAAACTCGTAAGACAAATGGGCAACCAAGTGGGAAAAAATAGGTTGTAAATAAGAAGAAGTAATAAAAACGAAAAAGCTCCTATAAATCTGATTTTAAAAGCCAGAGGTGTCCGCAGCGGGGATGGAGGGGGGGGTGCAAACTCACAAGATGGCAGTTGTGTGCTCACATCAGATTCCCCCCCTTTTTATGTGTGTGCAAAATGCATGTGCAAAAGGGTGAGGTTTTGATTGCAACGTTGCACTTGCCCTTTTGAAGATTTTGACCCCCTCGGCAGATGCCCCTGAAAATAATTGACATTGTGTGACTTTTGCTCAACTCGTTCGCAACATTTACAGTTTATTTAAAAGAGAACGTGGCAGCTATAATTTTCTCGGGTTGATGAATTAGCACTGCTACAGCGTTCATTAATCCTGGCACGCAGGAAAGTTAATTGGAGCGGGCTTTGCTTTTGTGATCTAACAGATAGAACATTAGCCAATGTAGCCTTGCACATTTTCCAACAGTGTCCTATTTATCTGAATACAAGGCAGTCACCATACAGTAACACCGTCTTTGTATCCAGTCTTTGCCAGCTCAGCATCAATGTTTGTATTACAAGAACGTTAAACCAATATTTTTCACAGGATGCTCTGTGGCCAGACAGCTGTCCTGTCTTCCTCCTTGAACATCCCAGCCTGAAATATGCCACGACCCGGTCTGTAGCAAAACATCCAGTGGGTAAATATGACTCTAGGATTAGCACCGTTCCACTTTTAGCAAATGTGCTTGGGTTTCTAGATCCTTTTCCATCATCCAGTATTAGTGATGGAATGAACTGCTTTCCACCCCATCGATCCCCCTGTTGAGGACCAAAATTCAATGTTGCCAGTTCTGGGCATCACCACCAATGAAGGTGGTGAAGAGTTTGAAAACATGTCCAGGAAGGAAGTGGGGAAGAAACTGGGTATAAGTAAGAAAAGAAGGCTAGAATGGTCTGGAGGGTGGAAGTGGACACTGAACAAGTCCCTCAAGGGCCGTCACACAGAGGAGGACAGTGTCTTCTTTGGTGTCCCCAAGGAAGAAGACGTGATACTTCCTTTGTTTCTTCTCCAGGCATTGAAGTTGGTCCTCAGCCCCAAGGAGTTCTGAGGGCTGACATTTTGGGTAAAATGAGGAAGATCGTCCAACATGGCCTGGATTTTGTGCAAAAGTTCAATGCAGGTACAGCATTATAAGGTAGTTGATGGTCATACCATCTGCTGGTGGAGATGTAATCCTAAACACAACCGAATTTTGCTCTGAATCCCCATCTCTTAACTGCAGTTTTCCAGTTTGGGATCCAAGCAAACCATTTTGTAGGATATTCTCAACATCTTCCCAACTTTAATGGGTATCAGAGTTACCTGTTCACTTCTTCCTCGGCTAAATTTTAAGGTGGATTTTCAACTCTAGTTGTTTTTTCTTTAGTTACAAAATGTGTCTTCTCCTTCTGCAAAGTTTGAGGTCCTCTCCTCTGTGCTGATGTTCACCTCTTGTTTCTTAATATTTCATTTTTTAAATTTTTCTTGCAATTTTGTCAATACCACTGTCAGACTTTGCTACTAAAGGGTGATTTTTTTTTTAAAGAGAGAGAATCTCTAGATTATTAAAGAATAAACTCCATGCTTTCTTCTCTGCATATTTGGGTCAGGGTATAAATGAATCGATACGCATTTTTGCAGGGTTTTTAATCTACCCATTAAATATCAGTTGAATTGTCTCACACAATCTAAGATGTTTCTTTCTGGAAAATGTGTTTACAACTATTATTAAAGATAAATACTTCTTATGGCTTTTTAGCTTCTTGACAATAACTTCTAACCTTGTCCTATATGACTAGATGAGAACTTAAAATACAATTCCTAAAGTTCAGAAGATGTGGATACAAGGAAGAGGTTTTTAATAAATTCTATTGTATCCACAATATCAATTATATTTTATAAGGGGTGGCATGAAAAGTTCACCTTTGAACAACCCAACCTTTAGAAGGGCAGTTGATTGAGAATGTTCCAGTCAGAAGATCTAATTGTAATTTACAACTACAGTTTGTTTCACAAATAATCCATCTCAGTGACTTCAAACATTATCCACAATGTCAGTTGCTTGACCTGAACAGTTGAAGATCTGCATTGTTTTCTCTGTAGGACAAGAATTCCCTCCATGTACCATTGAGATTTATAAAATAATGGAGAAAGTGGATTATCCCAGGGACAAAAAAAATGAGATTACGGCTGTCATTCACCCTAATTTACAGGTAAACACATGTGGTTTCCCTTCTCTTTTTAACAGCAGTGGTGGGGGATCTAGAAAATGTTCCTATTTTGAAAGGGCTTCTCCAAATTTGCTTTCTAACAGAAATTGTTTCTTGCCTATATTCAAGACGTTGCTTCTTCTGAATATAATTCTTGAAACCCTTATAAGAGTTCTAGTACCACATCCTTTAATCCCCACTGCAAATTCTTCTCCTGTGGATATACCAATGCAGTGTTTCTCAACCTTGGCCACGTTAAGACGGGTGGACTTCAACTCCCCAACATGCTGGCTGGGGAATTCTGGGAGTTGAAGTCCACCCGTCTTAACATGGCCAAGGTTGAGAAACACTGTACTAATGTAATAAAGAATTGTGTATATAACATTATCCAGATAGGCGGTAATAAAAACATGGGCTTACAAGCAGATAAATAGGGTTGTCTTAATTCAGAAAAGTGCTAAAGGCAGCAAGAAGGGAGTCAAATTAAACCATGCCCAGATCTCCTCCAGATGAGAGACAGTGCTAGCTAGCACAGGACCAAGGACCATCCTAAATTAATTTCCAACACGTTAAATCCAGGGGAACCCGCCAAAGCTGGTGTGCTGTTCCCATCCTTGAATCAAACCGGGCTCCCTAAAAAAGGTGCAGTTCAGCTTTGACCAGTCCAAAGTCATCTTAGCTTCGCTTGTTATAATGGGGCTGTTTATTATGTTTAAATGATAGCCCTTGAGACGAACTTGAGTCTAGATCAGGGATGGCGAACCTATGACGCGCGTGCCAAAGGTGATACGCCACAACGTTTTGGGTGACCTGCTAGTGTTCACCAACACCCAACAACCACAATTCTCCCTGTTTGAGTTACCAAAGAAACTGAGTTTGTTTTACTCATAT